GGGCGGGCCGGCCTGGTGCGGCGCCGGCTCCGAGCAGCGCAGCAGCCAGTGTGTCAACATGCGCCCGCGTCCCTTCAGCTCCACCTCGCCGCGCCGCTCCACGGTGAACGTGCCCCACTGCTCTAGCAACGCCCGCGTACTCTCGCTCAAGTGAATCCTCAAAGCTGTTTAGTAAAGAAAGTTTAGAGAATCAAAGATCGGACAGACCTATAAAGTACCCGGTTGACTTCCTTCCTTTTATTAATCCATATTTTTTCAGATTTAAGTTGATATGGCAAGGTTTCCTATTTAGTAAAAAGGTAAAGTTATTGTTACGTTGTCCAGTAGACTCCATGCGGCTGGCCGTGTTAACGGTGTCCCCGAACAGGCAGTAGTGTGGCATCTTGACGCCCACCACGCCCGCGCACACTGGTCCAGAGTGTACTCCGACTCGCACCTTCATTACATACATATAGTAAAATTTACTACATAAAAGATTGAAAAATTAACAAACCTAATGAAAAAATATCAAATATGTTATGTTCATTACTTCTAAGCGATGTGAGGGGCGATGCCTGACAGCAAAGGTGCGCACAGCCTCGACGACCGCGAGCGCCATGAGGCAGATCTCGCGCGCGTGCATGTCGCCGTTGCGCTTCGGCAGACCTGACACCACCATGTACGCGTCGCCTATTGTCTCCACCTTACACACAACATAATACTCTTATTCATACTTTTCAGCTGTCGTAATACATGAAACGTTGTCGTTATACAGAGATACTAGCGGACCCGACAGACGTTGTCCTGTCTACACGTCTTTAATTCGAATATTATTTAAAATTTGACACTGTGATGGTAGCGCCGTCTGTCGGATCCAATGTAAAACATTCCAAAATCAACAACTACTAATAAATAAAAATTAATTAAAAAAACATTGTCCAGCGAACAAAATTGTGAATCTAAACCATTCCCAGATCCCCTTGAACACACACAAAAAATTTCATCAAAATCGGTCCAGTCATTTGAGAGAAGTTCAGTGACATACACACTCACAGAAGAATTATATATATAAAGATAACAGTGAAGACTCGCTGTCAATTTACTTATTAGACGTTTGAAATATTAACAAATTACATTTCAATTTACATTGATGATATTTATCGTGACATGTCGGTATTTCTGAAATATCCAATAATTTATTAAAAACTCTATATATTCAACGTAATAAAACACGATTTTAACAGCATAATGCAGTAATACAAAACTTTTAATGTCGGTTTTTCTTCTAGCCAGTTACCTTATACACGTCATAGTATCCGATGATCCTATCAAAAGTGCTGTAGAGGTCATTGAGGAGGTCGACGACCTGCATGGGTGTGGAGGCAGCGCACAGCTCGGTGAAGCCAACAATATCACTGAAGTACACAGTCACACACTCGAAGCTCTCCGGCTGGACAACTTCTCCAGCCATTAGCTGTTGAGCCACCGGCCTAATCACACAGAAAGGAGTGACGCTATATTAAAGAAGACTTAATAATAGCGTTAATTTGCTACTTTACCTTACTCTTATCATAATCGTTAAACGTGTATACTATTCAAAAGACAAAAGTAACTATAAATGGCAAGGCACTCTCGCTTATTTCGATTCGTAAATTTATCTATCAAGTTTTCAAGAAACTCTGCCTATAGAAAGTTGTACAGCAATAATGGAAAATCTTATCGTCGAAAAAGTTTTCATAATCAAATTTTTACGTGACAAGAAATATAATATCCAATATAGAGAAATTCGATAATATTTTGATAGCAAATACATGTATATACGTACTTTGAAGTAAAATATTCAAAAATCACCGATAGAATGGAATTTAACTATCTACCACAGATTAGTTAAGAACTAAATTTGACTTAGATTACTTCCATGGTCACTTAAGCAGCCCTTATTGATTTGTCATATCATATCTATACTAAGAGTTGTCCTTAGTAACCTCTTAACGATTGTAAAGTTAGTATACTTCGGATGTCTATGTACCTGGGCAATACTTGGTAGAGCAGTTCCTCTGATCGCCGCTTCTCCATTGATAATTGCTCTGTCTTCTCCTCCACTAGAGACTCCAAGTTGTTGGCGTACTGTTCCATGCGACGTAGAAGATCATCCATCAGGTTGTCACAGTAACCTCTATGAATAATATTTGAGTTAAACAACCTTGTCCTTTGATAATAAACTCTATAAATGCACCCAAAACGAGAGTAAAATATTGATAAATGAAAAAATTTGAAAACAAATTACAGGACTTCCAAATAACAGCTGAAAAAGATGAAAATAGTTAATTATTTTGTTTTCTAAAGAACAGTCAGCGTCATATAGATCGTCACAGACAAAATATGCAAATATATAGGTACACCAACAGTATTCAATTATATCGGTACAACAAAAGTCCTCAAAATAATAGATACATTCACCCTGCTCAAATACATCGGTACATACACAGCGTCAAATATATGAGTACATGCAAGATGCTCATAAATATCGTAGCAGCCACAGCGTCATAAGTAACGAAGCAGTCAAGGTGCGCAAAAATATCGGTACATTTGACAAAATTGAACTCTATCTCTATATACTTGTGATACAATTTGGAATAAACTACTTCTGTTACATTCATTTGACACTTTGCATCAAACCATTTTTCAAAATTTACTAAAATCTTCGACGCGGATGACAGATATTATGTAGATAAAACCAACATCAAATTTAAGTTTGTCATCATATATGTTAGTTTGGTCTCGTGGCCTTACCGTTCGCCGCCGTTGGTACGTAAGGTCGGCGGTTCAAATCCCAAGCCACTATTTTTTTTTTGATGTTTAAACTTTTTAATTTTAATATCGAAGCACATGTAATTAAACTCTATCGCCGTAGTTATTAGGTACTTTTTGATATTGCCTTGGACTAATGAGTTTGACCGTTAAAGTACTTTTCTATTTCAAACAAAAATGAAGGAGATAAAGCGATGCTATTGGCATGTAATTTGTATATTACTCATGTTTGTTAAACTTGTACCGGTAAAAATAACACTTTTACTTTTACATTTTACTGATACTGACTATATTTAAGAAACAAAGAGCCAAAAAACTGAATGTCAATATCCAAACTACATCAAATGTTTGGTCGATTGCAATAAACATTCCAGTGTGCGTGGGCGCGCACACATATGTAGATAACACTTGT